TGTGTTCGCTTGCCATTTTGTAATATTCTTTTTACACTAAATGAAGATCCGACAATGTTGACGCAAGAAAATCAGAAATATATGTGGTTCATTCGGTGAATGCCAATCACAGCAGTCCTTTTACAATTTGGTGTAATAAAGTGAGAGAAAATTGTTTGTTCAGCGAAAGCCAATCAAAGCAGGTATTTGCGCCGAATAATGATTTGACAAAGAAAATCTTTGTTCGAGAAATTTTTAAGGGCAGGCAGTAAAATATATGTATTTTAAATTCAATATGAATATTTTAAATCAAACGAAAATCCCCACCAAATCAAACCAAAGTTGTAGGAAATTTTATTTTCTTCAAGTCTGACCTTATTTATTTATGCCGTAGATTTGAAAATGAACGAAAAATAATGCAATATTTTGAGATTACCGCTTGTTTTAAGTTTATTTCGAAAACTATCAATCTTAGAAGAAAAATTATTAGGACCAAATTTGTGTAGAATTGAATATCCTACAACTTTTGTTCTTATGATTTTTCTTAAAAATTAAAAATGGCGAAGTTATTCAATGAAGACCATTTCTTTGGAAAAAAAACTGAAACTAGGACATACGCAATCGCTGGATATGGTCGCCACTTTCCATTTACATGGAGACTGATTCCCCGAGGGCATAAGATTCAGAAAAAATTCGATAATTAATTTTTGCGAGGTCAAAAGTGTATAATGACTGGACAAGGAGGGCGACTTTCAAACGCTGCAGCAGCCATGTTCACCACTGTATGGAAAATGCAGCAGTGGTTTTTCTTACACAGAATTTGATGCTCTTTCAGATGAGCATTGGTTTTTTGAGGACCTCGATGATACTCGGATCCTACAGGAGAGGCGTCGCTTATCTCGCTTCAGCAACTGATACGGCTAATGAGGGGGCCTTGCAGCACTACCTTTTCGTAATGCCCAATCCTGCCCCTGTCTCGAGGAACAATCAGAATACGGGACTCCTGACATACACGAATCCCCCAAAAAATTTTTTTTTTTTTGGGCCGTGACTGGCCTTAGGTGAGGCAGCAGGCCCATTTCGTGTTCCCCCATGCATGACGTCACTAAATATATGTATGGCCTCTGGGACCCCTATTCTACCCGGTTTAGTTTGATGGGCTCTCCTACTATAAAGCTGCCAACATGAACTCAACCAGCATCAGTTGTCCGTAGGTAAGCACGGAGCGTATCCGGGGCTTCGGGCCTATTTGGGCGCTCTTGGCTTTCCTTCTCGGAGGAAGACTGACTGGTTGAAGGGGGGCTGCAAGGAGGGAATACCCCTCAGGCAACGCTCCGAAACCATTATGGGCTAGACCCATTTTTGGACACGGTCTCAAGCAGACAGAGAGCGTGACCCGTTTTGGCTTCCCCAAATCCGAGCACCCCTGCCTGCTTACGATACCGTGTAGCTAGCGGGCGTTGAAGGGGCGGACCACCCCCTGCAGTGCCTAGCGGCCACGAATACATACGGGGGGACTGGGCAACCTTTCGACGCCCTGGGGGACCGCACTAATGACCAGTTGTATCCGTGTTGGCAATCCACAATATCAATATGATCAAATAACTTTTGATGGTGTATGAAATCAAATAGTTTAGCCATGATGCTCTGCTTAACAACTGGTCTATAATTGCATATGTCATTACGGTCACCCGATTTGAATATAGGGACTATTTAGCATAATTTCCAAGGCTCAAGAAAATATCCACTTTTTAAGCATTTCTGGAGAAGCAGTGCAATAGGGTAAGTTAAGCAGTTGGCGCAGTTTTTGAAAAACACAGGAGAAAATCCTTCAGTATCTACCTTAGAGCTTGAATTTAAATTCGAAATTGCGAGACGAACATCATTTGCAGAGATTTCAAAAGAACTAATTGTTGGCAATTCAGTATGAGTAAAGTTGGGAAACGTAGAAGTATTTTGTTTTGCGTAAACCTTCTGAAAAAGTTGAGGGGGAAGGTTGCAAGTATCTTCCGTATTATCACACATTAAACCATCATATTCCATGCTAGTAGGAAATCCATTAGTTTGCCTCTTTGGATTTATGAAAAACCAAAATTTAGAAGGATTTGACTTCAAGTCCGATTCAACTTTGAACATATATTGCTTAAATAGAAACTTATGGAGAGAGTCGAACTCCTTTCTCAGAAAAATAAATTTCTGTCGATCCTCTTCATTATTACTATTTCTCAGCTTTTAATATGCTTTATTTTTAACATTTTTCAAATGGCAAAGCTTTGAATCGAACCACGGAGGTTTTTTATTTGTTACGATTCGCCTAAACGGAACATAATGGGAGATGGCTTGCAGAAACCATTGACCCATAATATCGTTATGATCCTCCAGTCTACTTAAAGCCTCCAAAAATGACCAATCAATGTCAGACAAAAATTTATTCATTGCAGAAAAGTCTGCCCGAAAGTAATTATATTCCACTGCGGACTCAAGCGGCTTCATTTCAAAATTTTAAAAGTCAAAATTAACATCTAGAGCTTTATGATGTAAACTATTATCTAAAATAGGCGCTTCAAAGCATGATATTTTAAGTTCTATAGTAGCAAAAATCAGGTCTAAAAACCTACCATTATTGTTTTAAACCGAGATGTTACATTGCTTAAAACCGGGCGAAAACATTGTCGATATAACTAATTCATCTATTTCAGACTTGATATTCGTAGGCAATATGTTATTACTATGACTCTGCCAAGAAATGCTACTTAATTGAAAATCTCCTAAAAAATAATCTCCTTCAGACGGCTTACCATTGTTAATTACATCTACAAGATCATCTAAATGATATTAAATAAAAAATAGTTTTATTGTTAGTAAACTTAACACTAACACAAATTTGATCCAGATCACTACCAACACCATTCAGATTAACAGCTTTGCTGCAAAAATTCGTTCTGGCTGCAAGTAAAACGCCGCCGCCTCTAACAAGGCCCGTAGTATCTGAGCAGCGATCTTTTCGATAAACATAATAGTCATCGCCGAAAGATTCATTCGAAGAAAAATTTGCATTTAACCAAGTCGCAGTTATAGCTTTTTCAAAATAAAGGACGCCTTTAGTCCTTTATTTCTTAAACTGTCCTTTAAATCAGCTCTGCATTTTTCAGAGGTAAATTTTTAAACACAGATTATGAAAAATATAAATGTCCCTTATAAAATATAGTGAAAACCTTCGCCAGTTTGTTTCGCACCCAACTTAAGTGTTTCTATTTAAGCTTAGTATCCAGCTCTTAAGAAAACGGTCAAGAAAAAATTGCCATTATTTCGCGTGTGTGTCCAAGGAATTTTGACATTCTTGATACCTCACAGCCTGTTGCCTCACTCTTTCCTCAAGAAATAATGGAACGGGCATATATTTCTGTTACAAGCCTGGGTTGCCTTGTGCTCTTTTTTCACAAAAAACTTTAGAAAACCGTAGTAGAAAGCGTACTAAATTTCTGAAGAACTGCGTACTGCCTTAAGGAAATTTGACTCAAGAAAATTTCTTATACGTCATTTTATATGGAGTTTTTGCTTTTCTTAAGAGCTGGATACTAAGCTTTAATCGGTAATCTTTGTACAATCTATAAAGCACAGGGAAAGTTGTGCCCAGGATCGTGTTGCACGCTGAGTTTCCAGTTCCACTGAAAGAGAACAATGACCCCCTGCGCCAGAGTGGTTCAAAACTGGCATTTAGTGTTCGTAATTCACTGGACCCTTAATTTTTCATTTATTTTATTTTTTAATAAATTTTACATAACAAAAAGTAGTTGAAAACAATTGCATGGTTCTAACAAAACGAAAAAAATACCCAAAAATAAATTTGAAATGTTATAAAAAATGTTCACCAAAATAAATATTTTTTTCGGTTTTTAGTAAAAATTAGTTGAAAAATGAAGGCTCCGGTGATTTATGAACATTAAATTCCAATTTTGCACTACTGCGTGCTGTCTTCGTCGTGCAGTATGAATTATGGAAAACGCATTTTGCTAGCAAAGGATGCGAAGTCCTTGGAAAGGACTGGGCTTAATTTTTCGCTACAGCAGGGGAACTTGTAGAATTAAATAATATAATTAACTAGTTAATTATTAATAGCAGAGGAACTTGTACAATTAAATAATATAATTAACTGGAGATTTAAATTACGATATTGGTAAGGTACTTTTATCATACAAGTTGTATGTACGTATTCCCAGATCATTAAAAAAGTGTCCTTTATTTTACTTTGGTTAATATGGTCACCGTAGTTATAGCTATAACATTGAAATCATGTGATAAAACAAGGCATACTCAACGAGGTAAAAGTGACAATTCAGTCGAGCTCTCTCATAGCTGACTGTAATGTCAAAAAATGTAAACAAAGAAATTAACCCTTTGTTATGCATTTACCATATTTGATAAAACTCAACGGCCCGTAGCTATAGTCAAAATAAAGTCGACTCCTAAAGTGAAAAGCAGCTTTTTGACATAATTTTCAATGTGATATCTGTCAAAAAAAGAGGCTATTAACTTTAGAGTCGGCTTTATTTTGACTATAACTGCGGGCTAATATCTTTGAAATGAAAGTTTTTGTAGATATGCAAATTTTTAAAATCTCATTAGAATCAGCTTCATTTTACGTATTACCTTTTCGTTTTAATGTAAATGAGGAAATGCATACTTACATAAAATTACACACTAAGTAAAACACACTCATTTATAAACCCATTTTGGCAATTTTCTTGCTTTTACTAGCCCAATGTTTTTAAGCATTTATTTTTTTTTTTATTCAAACACTTAATTCTAAAGTATATTAGACATTTAAAAAAAGGTTTGATTATTCTAAATTTACATCAGATTTGAATTTCAATAATTCAGCAATTAAATTTTTGCAATTCAAAATTTCCTTTCCATTAAATTTATTAAAAGTTAATTTCAGTTTCTTTATGTCAACAAGGAATTCCGGTTTAGGTTTTGTTAGACCACCATTTGAAATTTGTTCTATCCTTGTATATGAGTGGAAGATTTTCTCTTCATATTCAGTATAATAATTCCTGCACCTGGGAACAAACGCGTCCGCTTAGAAATACTCGGCTGCGATGGGTAACAAATAAAGTCACTGGCACTAAAATGGTCTTCGCGCACACGTGAAGGGTCTCCTAATGAAGCATTGATACTTCGGAGTTTTAAAATAACGCACAAGTTTGTTGCCCTGGCTCTTGTCAAACACAACATACCGCCCATAATTCCTTTTCATTTTATTATGTATTTAAAATCAGTCGCACAGCTCACAATTGGAAATTTATATTAAAAAAATTAAAATTTTGAATAGTATAGGGTTAATAGTTGACATTTTAGTCGTAGTTCNTTAAAATTTTGAATAGTATAGGGTTAAGAGTTGACATTTTAGTCGCAGTTCAAAAGAGAGAAATGTCGAAATCACTTCTACCTTGTTATGCCTTGTGATAAAACAGGCTGACTTCCAAAACGTACCAATACAATGTTTGGATACTGTTCTACTGCGGTATTTAAACTCTTTGCATATGCAGAGTAGCGAAACATTGCAACGATATACATTGCATATTTGGAATATTTAATAAAACAATAATCATCATTTCGGAATTTTGCATTTTTAAAACACCAATGGTAACCAATAACAAACGAAGCATCAACTTTGTTTCTGATGCGCTGATTGCGCTAGCAATGCGTTTCGATAACTTTTCGGAGGGTTTTGGAAAAGTGTACATTGTCAACCAATTGTAGTTCGGCGTTATGGAACATTAAACTTTGTACGTATGCAATGCAATTGACGTTTTGGAAGTCAGCCACACTGAGATGAAACTGTGAGCATTGGCAGATTCATTCACGTTACAGATTCTGCAGCGTTGGCGTTTTGAAAAAATTGGAATGGGCGCACCTTAACGTTTATTAGCCAGAACGCAGAGCTTAGCAGTTTATTATAGTCTGATAAAGAGACACCCAACTTGGCCGCTGTGGTGTAGTGGTAAGCAGTGCGCGCTTCCACTCCGCAACGCCTGGGTTCAAGCCCTGGTCAAAGCAACATCGCAAAAAATATAGAAAAAAGGTGTTTTCTTAACAGCGGTCGTCCCTCGGCAGGCAATGGCAAACCTCCGAGTGTATTTCTGCCATGAAAAACAGCTTCTCATAAAAATACAATCGCCGTTCGGAGTCGGCGTAATATTGTAGGTCCCTCCGCTTTGTGTGACAACACNGTCGTCCCTCGGCAGGCAATGGCAAACCTCCGAGTGTATTTCTGCCATGAAAAACAGCTTCTCATAAAAATACAATCGCCGTTCGGAGTCGGCGTAAAACTGTAGGTCCCTCCGCTTTGTGTGACAACATCAAGGCGCACGCCACAAGTCGGAGGAGAAGCTCGGCCAAACACTAACATATGTGTAAGCGCCAATCTATTATTATTATTATTATTATTATTAACTTGAAAATAACTCTTACCAATTTTTTCAAAGAGTCTGCAGGAAGGTCTTTTTAATAAGCTTATAGCAAGAGATGCTGTTAGAATCAATGGATGCATGAATCCCCAAACTAGTGAGGAAAAATACTAGTTTACAACTAGAATTTCCTGACTGAAACCGAACTAGTTTGAAAATGCCCAGACTTGTACCAAGTACAAAAGGATTTATTCATGCCCAGGTTCATTTGACTTCTTCAGTTTAATACAGTAAAGTACATAAAATATTATAACTTTTATTTGGGTATATTGTAAACCATTAAAGCGAGTACATATTCAATTATTCTAGACTTGTTAAATTATGATAATAATCATAATGATTATTAATTAAAGCATGTTTTTTTTTGGATAACCGTTTAATGATCAAATTCCAATATTAGCACCTTAAATAAATAAAAAAATTTAATTCATTCATTCATTTTATTTATATGATTATTTTGTTATTTTTGATAATTTTCAGTTATTTTTAACTTATTTTAATTACAATTATCAACCAACAAGCCAAACTATGGACAAAAATTAGGAATATTTAATAACGGCATGAAATATTTGTTTATTTTAATATTTTTATTGAGCTTTGTACCACGATTGTTTATTAGGAAAAATTGAAAAAGCAACAAAGTCTAAGCGGTAGAAGTTATAGCACTATTTCGGAGATCACCTCATCTCCTCATCAGACTTCTTTTTTCTAGACTTCAGCAGGGATCGAACCTGCGTATTCGATGTTCAAAGTCAGAAGCGTTAACCACTGAGCTATGTACATCCCGTAAACTCTTGTTGCTAATTCATTTTCCTTATTCAACCAACTACTATCAAGTGCAGCTGATTTGCCGCTTAGACTTTGTTGCTTTTTCAATTTTTCCTAATAAACAATCGTGGTACAAAGCTCAATAAAAATATTGGCCCGTAGTTAGTTGCAGCTTTTTTGACAGATATCCCATTGAAAATTATGTCAAAAAGCTGCAACTAACTACGGGCCAATATTTTTATTGAGCTTTGTACCACGATTGTTTATTAGGAAAAATTGAAAAAGCAACAAAGTCTAAGCGGTAGAAGTTATAGCACTATTTCGGAGATCACCACATCTCCTCATCAGACTTCTTTTTTCTAGACTTCAGCAGGGATCGAACCTGCGAATTCGATGTTCAAAGTCAGAAGCGTTAACCACTGAGCTATGTACATCCCGTAAACTCTTGTTGCTAATTCATTTTCCTTATTCAACCAACTACTATCAAGTGCAGCTGATTTGCCGCTATTTAAACTCGACAGCGTGGTTGTTGTAGTCAATTCTATACATCCATTTGCTTTTCTTGCTTTTTTTATAGTTTCAGGCAGGCTCTTCCTAAGCTATGTATTTGTCAATGTTATTGTGGCTTGTTAACATTTTATTTTTAATATTTTTATTGAGCTTTGTACCACGATTGTTTATTAGGAAAAATTGAAAAAGCAACAAAGTCTAAGCGGTAGAAGTTATAGCACTATTTCGGAGATCACCACATCTCCTCATCAGACTTCTTTTTTCTAGACTTCAGCAGGGATCGAACCTGCGAATTCGATGTTCAAAGTCAGAAGCGTTAACCACTGAGCTATGTACATCCCGTAAACTCTTGTTGCTAATTCATTTTCCTTATTCAACCAACTACTATCAAGTGCAGCTGATTTGCCGCTATTTAAACTCGACAGCGTGGTTGTTGTTGTCAATTCTATACATCCATTTGCTTATTTTGCTTTTTTGTGTAGTTTCAGGCAGGCTCTTCCTAAACTATGTATTTGTCAATGTTATTGTGGCTTGTTAACATTTTATTTGTAATATTTATTTATTTTATTCTTATCCGAATCTCAAATTTTACGTTAATTATTACTTTCATTTAATTTTAAAAAGAAAGGACTGGAATGTGCAAAGTTAATGAATTTAATTTAATTTTATGATAACTTTTATTTTTATTTAAGTTCACCGAAAATGAACTAAAGTATTTATTTTATTTTTAACTAAAATGTTTTCTTTTGCATATTCAGTATTATTAAAAAAGATAAAAAGAAAATATTTATTGTACCTGAAACCTTTTACTTTTAATAACATTTAATGGAAAATGCATTTAAATTTATATTCGAAAGTTTGAAATATTTATGTATTTATTTTTCCTTTTAATTAATACTCAAAAAATTTAACACTAATTATTGGTAAATCTAAGAAGGCTAAATAAAAATGTGTAATATGTTAAAGTGTACGTAATCAAAAGTTTTTTATTGTATATTCAGGAATTCCTTTTATTCTTTGACTCCCAAAGTAGTGGTTTCGGTCCATAATTGAACTAGTATTTTTCTGTCTCTTTTGAACTAGTATGAGAATGGTATATTTCTGACCGAAATCTGACACTTGCCATCTCGTAGGACATCTCCATGTTAAAAATACCAGTTGATTGCATGGAAAAAAGATAGTTGGCTGACTAGTTCAGCATGCGGTTCATACTTGTTGTGAGGTAGTTTACAACTGGTACATTTGCTACAGGGAAGGTGCAAGTTTAAAGTGTCTAAAAACATGTTGATGTTTGGAATTTTTTTGTTTGCGGTGTTGCGCACTTTCTTCCATATATGTAACGAATATTCGCATTTTATTTTATGTGGATGAAAATGCGCAACACCGTTGTTGATATTTTTTTTTTTAATATTTTAAATTAAGTTTTATTGGTATAGTTATTGTTGGATAATGCTATACTTAAAACAAAAATAATAATAATTAAAATTAACTTGGAAAAAATATAATTAGAAGCCCAAACCGGGTGACCGTAGGATTTTGTCGCGGGGTGTACTTTTAAAAATGTGTGTTTTTATTTGTGTATAATTTAAGGTAAACTGTAAGCTTAATGAAACTTGTGGGACTTTTCGACAAAATTGGCTATGACTTTATAGGCTTGCTGAAGAGATCTCAATGATAAGTTACGTTAAATTACGACTACACCAACAGCCAATTTCACGAAAGTAATTTAAGTGAAAATGATTTTAATTTTTTGAAATTTATATGAAAATAGACAGAAAATAAAAAATCATTTTCCATTTAAATTGCTGGTGAAACCGGCAGTAACTGAAGCTGTACAATGAATTGAACAATAAACACACTGCAGTAGACAAAAACTTGAGTTTTGTTTGGTTGCAGGAATAAGAAGGGAACGCATTGACTGAAATGGTGAAAAGTACAGTTAAGCTCAAAAAGTTACACTTTTTGTCATTAATTTAGTACAATTTAATAATCTTAAATATCAACACTGGTGCGTTCAATAAGACTCAAAGAACAACCTAAAATAAGAGTCCGAATGTAGTAATTTATGAGGGCGATAAGAGCCGCAAAAAGAGTCTGAAATGATTCATATCTGGGGCCAAAAATTGTTTTAAAAGACTGCGAAATGAGCCGTATATGAGGCCAATAAGAGTCCAATATGACTCATATTGAGGCTCATTTTATGTATGAATTTAAGCTCATGTATGTCGACCTTCGGAGGAAGGGAAATACCCTAATATCGAACTCTTAAATGAGCTCATTATGAGCG